CCTTAGATACATGAAAATTTAATCACATATAGAAGGGCTCGCAAGCTTTCAAACGATTTTTGAAAAATTCGAATCCGTCAATTAGGAGAGCTCTGGCGCTTGTTTAAACATTTGTCGAATTTTTGTACTATAATTTTGTATTTTTGTAATATAATGAGTTAATTTCTCATTTGCTTATATTTTAAACAGTAAATACTTTAGTCACAAAAGAAATGATGATTAAATTAATAATTAATTAATTAATTAACTAATTAATTTAATTTTCGACATATTTTGAAAATAATTGTTGTATAAACAATTTTAGAATATTTAAATAAATTTGTTTTTGATCTTTGATAAACAGTATATAAGTTTATTTACTTACCTTTGATACAATAAAAAAATAAAGTTGATAATTAAAGGAAGTTTAAAGATAAATAATTATCGGACTATTCAAAGATTAATCATTATTAACGATAGTCGTTTGAAAATACGCTAATTGTTTTATTTTTTAAATCGCGAGACATCGATTTAAAAAAAGGCGGTGACTATTAGACGCTTTCATTATAGCCATATTTCTCTATCGCACTGATTTCTATGACTTACTTTATCGCTCTCACATAACGGCAGATAGATCATCGGTACTTTCCGACCCTGTATTTAGTGTAAATGATGGTTAACTTTGATCGGCTATAATTACGTAACTAATTGACCAATCGATCTGTTTTTTTTAAAGCGTCTTTCCAATAACTTTTAAAACCAGCTTTAAAAAACTTTATTTGATTAAATATTCACAAAGTTATTCTAATTGTTTATTTTTATTTAAGTACAAAAATTCGACCAATGTTTAAACAAGCGCCAGAGCTCTCCTAATTGACGGATTCGAATTTTTCAAAAAGCGTTTGAAAGCTTGAGAGCCCTTCTATATGTGATGAAAATTTCAAGTATTTAAGGGCCTTGGTTTTTGCTGCGCAAGATTTTGAAAATTTGCAATTTTTTTTTCAAAATCTGGATTTTAAAATTATTATGCAAAATCTATCAAACCGATTTTGATGAAATTTGGTGTGATGATTCTATATAACATGAACTTTTCTTGAGCCGAATATGAAGCTCTTATATCCAACTTAAAGACCTCAAAAAATTCCCAAAAAGTAGTTTTTTAACCCCATTTTTGGCGATTTTTTCGATTTTTACAATAATAATCATGATTCATTCGATTTGTAACTAGTCCTATTTTGTAAAATTTAATTACCTTGAAAAGATACATAATTAAATAGGAAGAAAAATATAACATTTTTCAAATTTTTTTAACATATTGCGTCGCCAAAAAGTTAAGCCCACGTTTTTTTTTATGTGCATAGAAAAATGTTCAATTCTAGTGATATTTGAAAGCCAAAAAGCCAAAAATCTCCGTGGATATACAATTCACCCAAACCAAAACAGATACCGCCTAGTCTACATGCCAAGCATACCATGTAATTGATTTTAACTAAATTTTTTGCTTAGAAACAGGTAATTTTACGAAAAAATTACAAGGGACCTTTTTTGTTGACAGTGAATGAAGTTATCTATAATGAATTTTTAAATGGTAAGATGTTAATAAGAAAAAAAGTTGCGTACGAAACAAGTCTTTGTTGTTACCCCTTACAACCGCAGCGCAGGGGAAAATAAATAAATTGTTTACTGAGTGCCTCGATAGCACAAAACGCCTACATAATTTAATTTCTGTTACTTTTTGGCATTCCTGAAAAAATTAAAACTGCTTTTTTACACCCTCTTTAAGCGGTTGGGGGATGTTCAAATGAGATTTTTATATGAAAGACCCACCTTATTTAACGACAGAAAATTTTTTCACACTTATATATTTACACCCTGTATACAAACTCGATAATTGTAGAAATGCAGCAGTGTTTTGCATATCTTACCGTGAGCATAGTAGATTCAGTTGGTACAGGTTCATCTTCTGTGTACATTGAGGTGCGGAGGTCCTCACCTTTAACGTCTACATCTTGAGTATAACAAAACACTAAATTGTATGTCTTTCGAATGCAGTTGTAAACGTGTCTTGCGGATTCTTCCAAGCCGCAGTTGATGCTGATTTTTCCCAGATACTGCGCGGGTATGCCGTAATACGAGGTCCATGCGTTCATAATCCTCTGCAAAGAATTGGGCGTACCCGACGTATTTACAAGTACGAGTATATTTTCTTCGAGAACTTACCCGACTTATGTGGGACACATGTATCAAGAGCTTAATAATTCCCAAACGTGAAGCACGCTCGCTGCTATGCAGCAATATTACTAAATGTTTGTTTATGGAGTCTTCATCTCCCTAAAAATACTTCTATTAAGCAATCGGACAAAAGTTATTTGATTAACTAGCCACCATAATAGGCAATCAATCTATTTGTGTCCCTACCACTGAAGCAAATATTGCTAATAGCAATGTAATAAATTCCAACAGAAAGTTAAGAGAAGTCGAAAAGGGGAAAATTATTTATCCAATATTGTAGCAATTTTACAATTAATTTTAATATCTAACTAAAATTTTAGTTGAGAATATTTTTTACAATTAGGTGAATATAATTAATTTAATTTTAGTCCAGAAGGTATCTGTTTCAAAAAGTCCATATTTGGGTGAATCGTAATCCACGTTTTCGGCTTTCAAATATCACTGGAAATGAAAATGTTTCTATGCACATAAAAAAAAAACGGGGCCTAAACTTTGGCCGCAAAAAAAGGTAAAAAAAATCCAAAAAAGACAAAATTTTCTCCCTATTTAATTATGTATCTTTCCAATAGTTGATTTTAGGCGAAAAGGGAAAAGGAAAAAAATGTTTGTAATTAAATTTTTTACAAAATATGACTAGTTACAAATCGAATGAATCATGATATTATTGTAAAAATCGCCAAAAATGGGGTTAAAATCATTACTTTTTAGGGAATTTTTTTGGGGTCTTTAAATTGGGTATAGGACCTTCATACTTGGCTCAAGAAAACTTCATGTTATGTAGAATCATCACACCAAATCTCATCAAAATCGGTTCGATAGATTTTGCATAATAATTTTGCATTCCAGATTAAAAAAA